GAGAAAGAGAAAGTTTAACTATCACTTTTCTAATGAAAAATAGAATTTACTTGACGATAGATAATTGCATTAATAGATAATTGCATGAAATGTCCCTGCAAATTCTTCTTTCAAAAAACGACGTTTTCATTTATTTTTTTTATATTTTTTATTTATTTATAATAATAATAATAATAATAATAATAATAATAATAATAATAATAATAATAATAATAATAATAATAATAATAATAATAATTGTAATAATAATAATAATTGTAATAATAATAATTGTAATAATAATAATAATAATAATAATAATAATAATAATAATAATAATAATAATAATAAAACGATTTGTTTGATACGACAAATATAGACTTAATCGATAAAAAGGTTCGTAATCAGGGTGGTCCTTCTAGTTGGAAGAAGTTAGGTGCAAAAAGAGAAGTGCGAGAGAGAGAGAAAGAGAGAGAGATAGAGAGAATGGGTGAAAAGAAGCCGACAAATGTGTTTTACGGCTTACTTCCTGTCCATCGCACGCGACAGTTATGCGATGTATAATGAGGGAGTCGCCATTTCTTGGGATCGTTAAAATCGTAGGCAGCGTGTTATATTATCACTCGATGTGATAACTCTTTTTATATTCTACAAAAAGAAAAAAGAAAAGGAATCACCTATCAATGATTTTATTTATAGCTCTTAAAAATTAATAAAGAAGTAATATAAAAAAAAAAAAAAAATAAAAATAAAGAGATAATAAATAATAAAAAAATTATAAACAAAAAATATCTACATATATATCTACAAAGAAATAACGCACAACGAATTAATTAATTCACTATTGATTGATTGTCTTTGAAAAATAATGAATAATAATATCAACAGAATATATAACATCCTTAGAAATTCATTGAGTTTAGTTTTGAGAAAATAATTTTAACATTATGAACGATTAGTCATTACCCTTAAAAGAGATTTCCCAACCATTTTGAATTGTTTATAAACTCAGAAGCATACCCAGAGAGACAGAGAGAGAGAGAGGGATAGATAGATAGATAGATAGATAGATAGAGGGAGAGAGAGAGGGAGAGAAAGAGAGTGCTCGAAAGAAAGATCGAAAGCATATTGCTTTCTACGAAGTTTCAAGCTCTCCCTCGGGACATCTACCCTAGTTCTGGAATTCTGCAGAACAACTACGTTAAAGGATAAACATAACGAATAACATATATATACATATATATATGTACACACACAGACATATATATATATATATACGTATATATGTACGTAAAATATAGGTAGCTCCTTCCTGAAGTTCCTCTTGTAGCGTCAAACGACGAGAACGTGACTGCCGTTTGACATAACCTCAAAGTGGCCACTTTTGCGGCTCGTCCATATTTACATTTTCGAAAACGGAAGTTTTTCCCTTTTGGTCCATCGCAGGATTAGACTCTTTTGAATGAAATTCAATAATCATAGGGAAACGTTGCATTAGTTTTTCTCCACTGTGTGTACGTCTGTATTTTTCTTTTTTTTTAAACATCCTAATATATATGTCTAAATAAAAATAATGAAAAAAAAAAGGGAAAGGAAAAAATTACGATATTGCCACAAGATGTCCGATTTACCTGTTCTTCTTTCTATTTTTCATTTTATTTTATTTATTCTTTCTATTCTTTTTTTTGTTTTTTTTTGTTCTTTTTTTTTTTTTTACGAAATTCATAAAAATGTGATTTTTTTTCTTTTTTTTTTTTTACCTTGTCACAGAAACTCCGTATATGGGAATATGTAAATTACCAAAAAAAAAAAAATAATAAGAAATTCCACGTAAAGGATTACTTCCTTTGATAAGTCAAGTTATCAAAAAAAAAAAAAAAAAAAAAAAAGAAAAAAGAGGAAAGAAAAAAAAGAAAAGAAAAAAAGAAGAACGAATGGAAATAGTAGGCGTTTGTGGAAAAACGACACGTTAGAAGAGATAAAGAAGATAAGGTGCATATTGTTAGCACATGTTGTATATGACGAGTCAAAACTCGTGCCGAATCTCGGATCGCGATTTGTTAAATAAACTGACGAATGAGTTATGACTAAGCGGGGATTTAGAGAGCTATCCTAATGGAAAAGGGCATTGTTATTCCAGGATGGTCGGGAACCGGGTAAAATGTCTTATTTTTCTTTTTTCGTTAGATACCGTTAGATTCCTGCGAGAGATAACCAATGTTATATACAGCATCGTTGTTCAATCCATTCTTACATGTGACTCTTCTCATCACCTATATATATATATATATATATATATATATATATATATGTACTCATCTATGTATTTTTTCTAATTTTCATTTTTTCGTTATACAGGGTGTCTACGATTTTGTTATGAAAGACAAAAAGAAAAACCAAAAAAAAAAAAGGAAGGAAAAAGAAAAAAAAGTTCAGAACGTTTCATCGTAAACACCCTTGTAGTACATTCTGTAGTATAAATATTACATATACGTGCGTATCTACGAATATATTATGGCGAATAAATAGAAAAAAAAAAAAAAAAAAAAAAAAAAAGAAAAAAAAAACAGAAACCGAAAATAAATTCAAAACGATATATTATAGACACCCTGTAGTACTACTTCCTGTTCTCTTGAATCACGTATTACGTGATTTTTATTTGAAATAAAATTTAAAATCAAATAGTTATAATATATTTTCATGAATCTTTTAATTAATCGATTGATTATATTAACAAACATTTAGAGTTCGAAATTAATCAATTAAAATGCTTGATTAATTGAAGATAGGGAATGCAATCGACGTATTGTACTTACATATCATATCCGGATGTGAATTTCGTGAGCGTTAAATCGGAAGCACTACGGCACTCGGGAGGACGATTACGGCAACATTTAATTTCTTAGCGATCACGCAGGAGTCATAAAGAGTCGCTTCCGGACTTTGCAAAGGCGACTTTCGCGAGGCATAAATCGTCGGTAGTCCCTTTGAACATCATCTACATATATAGCTTAGAGTGCCTTTACGTTCTCTCTTTATCCTCTTTACGCGTTCCTCCCTTTCGCGTAAAATTATTATAAGCATTACGTTTTTATTTCAGATTTTCTTTTAATAAAAAAGATTTACGGTGGGTCGTTAAAAAAAAAAAGAACAAAAACAAAAACAATATTAAATCCCTCAATATTTTTATAATTTTATCGTTATAATCTATATGATTCTCTTAAAAAGTTTATTTTACCTTGATATATAATAAAAATGATCTCTACAAATATAAAATATTTTACTAATTTTTAATGGAATAAAATCTTTTTTTTCTCTTTAACATTCACGTATATAATTTTTTTTTATTATTATTATAGAAGGAGGAGAGGAGGAGGAGGAGGATTATTTGTGGTTAAAATCGGATATTACAATGATTACGGATAGATT